AAATAAATATATTATATTTTTCAGCCTTGTCCGTTATTGATTTCCTTTAAAATTATCCTGCCGAGAGACTAATCCACTGAACTATTGAATTGGCAGTTCGAGCCATAAGCTAACCCTTTAAATCCGAACACTGGTACTTGGGCCTGCCAATGTAACAAACAGTGTGAATGCAGAAGCATTCCGGGCTCCAAAAAAAGAAGTAGAGGATTCATTATAAGAACTACTGACAAGATATTGGGTACAAGAAGAAGTTCCGAAGAGCTCCGATCACCAATACACCCCGGATGAGCAATGGTGTGAGGATGATTATAAAATAACTCACTCTCGAGACTCAGCACAGATATACACCGTCCGCATCCCACTTAAGCAGTCCATTGAAGTCCTCGGCAACTCTCACAATACCGCCCATCAATACCTACAAATCCTACTGAAGCGATTCTCAAGAGATAGAAATTATTGCCAACACTACCAAAATTTCATGAAGGAATATGAAGAACTCAAATACATGACAAGAGCTTCTACAGTGTCCCACAATAAACCTCAATATTATCTGTCTCATCATTAACATCAGGATACTCAATCAATGATTTGATGCACACAGGAGCTAATCTGAATCCTGAAATTTCAGACGTGTTACTCTGGATACACAGCATCGACATCTTTTTTCTACAGATATTACAAAGATGTACAATAGATAAAAATTCATAAGCATGACTGGGACCTACAACGAATCTTATGGATAGACGAACAAAACAAGGAAATGCCATATTACTTAACAACAGTTACATACGGCACAGTAGCCGCTCCATTTTTAGCAGTTATAACACTGCTACACTACCATCCATCACTCATGGAAGATACGTCGATGATATCTTTGGAGGTGGGGACACGCCACGACAACTAGCTGAAATCGCACTACAATTGTAGAACCTCTGCATGGCGGGCAATTTCCCATTAGCATAATGGCACACAATTCAAAGAGATGTCCTCACCGCCATCAAAGCAGAAACGAAACGGGGATCGACAATTACCTTTGATGATTGTACTACAAAAATTCTTGGATTGCAGTAGAAACCTCAAGAGGATAAATTCACATTTGCAACAACAGGGTCTATGGACATTGATCAATTAACCAAACGTTCAATATTGTCAAATATTGCAAAAATCTTTGATCAACTAGGTTTTGTCTCACCGGTGGTGATAAAAGCAAAGATGATGCTACAAGAATTATAGATCCACACTCAAATGGGACAAATAAGATAAAATATTTAAATGATACAATAGGTATAATATTTAGATAGAAAATAAATTAAACATTCAAAATTTACGAATATATAAATAATTCTCATGTTTTAAAACATAATGAATTACGAGCAATAATTTAAAAGATTTAGATATAGTTAAAACGAAAAATTGAAATAAAACAACCTTTTCATTAAAACACAAAATTAACTAAAATCTTGATGAACTACATATATTTTACATTGTTCGTATGTATAATCAAAGTAAATAATATTTACACATATAATATAAATAATGGGAATAATTTACAGGAATCAATTAAATTTTCTAATACAATTGTGTATCATTTTAATTATCTTCTATAAACTTTCATTATAATATATTTAATTTATTACCTTGCGTTAGTGTAAGCATTCTTTTTTTGGAAATATTAAAATATAAATTTAATTAAGTATCAGAAAATAAATGTATGGCACTTGAAAATGAACTGAATTTGACGAAAAGAAATTTGTTGGCCACATTTTCAATTCAGTTATTCACGTTCAGTTGTTACATAATACCACTTCTAGTAGGTTTGCGGGAAAGTAGGTTTTCCTCCGTGACATTTTAATCACGTTAAACATGCATTAAATTTCGTATTTAGAATTATTTTTATTATTTCTCAAAAGATTTGTAGAATTCGTATTTTAAGTTATTTAAAAAATGTATGTAAATGATGGCATTTTTTATTATTTAAGTTAACTTTATTAAAATATTATTTTATAAATTGAGTAGGGTATAGTTTAGATTAACTAATTAAACTAAATTTTATTGTAGTTTTATATCAATACTACCACATACTACAATACATTACTTTTTTCTACTGTTCTTTTTATATGTCTTGCGATTAATAAGAAATTGCTGTTTAGTTTTAAATTACTACCTACGTATTCGATTTATTAAATATTTTAAAAAGCATTCATTTTTCAAGAATAAAACTATATTAAAAATTTATTTCATATTAAATGTTTTTTATACGTATAAATTCGAACAAAATCTAAGATTAAATAATAAAATATCATGTAATATATTTCACATCCAAAATGCTTAAAATTTGTTCAAAATTTGTTCAAAAGTAATAATTTACATATAAGTAATTATTTCTATTTTGTAATAAAGACACATATAGAAGAAAATAAATAAAAAGAAGTAAATTATAGTTATTCGTAAAAATATGTAAAAGATCATAATTAAATATTTTTATAAACATTTACACATTACGATTTAAAAAAAAACTTGTGTGATGTCTTTCGTTTCTTTATTTTTCTGAATATGTATTACACTATTGCTGTATGCTTATTGCACTTTAGGTTTTATACTGTTTAAGATTCTTTGGATTTTGATTTCCTTCGATTTTCAATTTATTTTTTTGCGTAATTAAGTTATCATTAAATTATTTTTGTATTAGTTTCGGATTATTTAAAGGTAATAAGGAATTTATATATTAACGAATAAGTACTTTTAATTAAAATTTATCAACATTATATTGTTTTTATCTTTTTAAAAATTGTCAAAATACTAAAACTTTTAAAACAATCTTTTATAAATTTAAAAATTTAATTTACATTAATTAATTTGTTTGGCTTTTTATAAGCTCCAGAAGATTAATATATTTTATTATTTGATTTCCTTAACTTTAATTTACCATAAAAAAATATATCAATGTAGATGATCTTGTTTTTAAATATGCGTAACTTAAGATAATGTAAATTGCATTTTATCTATACTATACTATATAAAATGAGAACAGCAGTCCAATATAATATAAATAAAATTTTTATATTTTATTTTAATACATAATATCTATTTGTAGCCCAGTATCCTGTCTATCTGTATATTATCATAAGTATGATCAGCGAATATATTAGTCTTCACATACTAAACTTTTAATAAGAGAAGATCATAAAACATTTATGTATTTTACAAACTAATCGTGTAAACTATAATAAGATTATAATAAATTATATAATAAGCTTATTTTAATAAACTAAAGTAAACTATAATAAAGAACTTAGAATAATATAATACAATTATGTATACAATATAAATATAATAACTTTTAATAATAAGAAAATTAAGAAAATAATTAATAATTTCAAAATATCTTATGAAACTATAATTGATTTTATGGAAGAATTATGTAATTTTTTATCATACTAGTTTAATTACTTATTTTTTCCGCATTTTTATCTATTTATAATTAAGTGATGCATCAACAATTACACATAATATTAATGTATTAATCATGCATGATACTGCGTATAAATACGAAAATATGTAATCACTCATACATAGATTTATGTCTGACACATTCGTTCTCGAAAGACCTGTATTATAGAAAGAGGTACAATTGTGTGAAGAACGAAGGAAACGGAATAATATAGTCCTTAATTATTTAGTATGTCTTTGTTTTTTAATTTCATTATTTTATGTAAATGGAAGTGCATCTATAAAAACAATTAAATAAATTTTATTACTTTTATTCAAACTTTTATAATATGAAATTTAAATAAAACTTGATAAACAATTCATTTCATAAGTTCATGTATAAAATAAATTGATCCAGTTTATTTTTAAAATAGTATAAAAATCAGTACAATCTAATGCATAACAGCTTATTAATAAAATTATTTTAAAAAAAATAAGTTAATAAACTTATACATGGTACACTATACCATGTTGATGCATGTATAAAAAAAAGTAATTTACTTCATATAAAAAAATATGTTTCAAGCTTAAACATAATATATACAAGAAATAGAATATTAAAATATTATTATTATTGTTGAAAGTCTATGTAATTCTGGTTGAAGTTTTTGCATGTCCATCTCATCGTTACTTCAATATTACGCATTTATTTTATTCAATAACTCTTTGTCGTTGGAACACTAATTATATTACGTGGTTGTTTCGAAAACAGGTTCGGTTAGAGAAAATAATATTAAAAAAAAAATTATTAACGTATTGGTACAAATATTTTATAAAATACATAATTATATAATAATTAAATAATAATTATACAAAAACATTTCTATATTTAATATTAGATTGGAAGGATTTATTTTCTTATCAAATGATAACCACTACTTTTTTCATTATAATATTATATACTATATTTTAAACTAAAATAGGAATAATGTAATAAATTAAATGCATAATGATTTTAAACGCTGAATGCAAAGCTAAACACGATTGCTAGATTTGATATATTATATACTGATTTGATATACTGATACAATTGATAGCAGTTGAATTCTATATTTCGTAAGGAGTGATAGTAAAACTAACCTTGTCCATTAGAGTGATTTTGCTGCGGCGACTGCGGTTGACCTTGTGTAAGGATTATTTGGCTCTCCAATTGCTGGAGTTCTGCTTGCAATTCAGTCAGTTTGCTGTTGGCCTTCTTCACGATCATCGCAACATCAGATAAGGCTTTACGATCAGTTGCTACCTCGCGCAGTTTCTCCGCACCAGCCTTGATTTTAAGCTCCTAAAACATATTTTTTATATGCTTTTATATCAATTATATCACTTGTAATTCGAATTATCAAATTTAAGTTGAAATATTTGCATGATTAAAATAATTTAAATCATTATTTTTTACAATCAATCAATGTTTTCAATATTGAATGTTAATCATATAAATGTTTACTAATTTTCTAAAATAAGTATAATTTAATTAAGTGAATTTAATGATTGAGTATAAAAATTGATACGCATAAAATTTAATAATTTTTATAAAAAAAAATTAAATAAACTTTCAAAAAAAAAAAATTTATATTATTATTGATTATAATTTTTGTAAGTATTACAATACTTTATATATATATACATTTTAAGCAAAAATGTATTTGGAACATATTTTGATATTCTTATTTAGTTATATAATTATATTATACAAAATATATTTACATTATTAGATATATTTATCCAATAACAATTACTATTTATTAATGACTTTTACATGACACTATTTATTAATATAAATCCAACGATATTTGTTTATTTTCAAATAAACATTTATATTATATTTAAAAAACTTTTTTTATATTTTATCAGCTATATTTTGTTTAAAATATTACGATTTTAATGCTTATACTTCAATAAAAGTTAATCTTTCAATTTCGAATTTATAAAACACATATATTTGCAATGTATATTTTTTATAATTAAAATTTGTATAACTAAATAGTAAATAAATTCGGTCATTTAATATATTAAATGAACTAATTTTTTGTGAACATTAGCAAACACTTTATTTAATGTATTATATATAATTTAATAAATAAATAAAATATATATTATAAAATTAATAAACTTGTTTATAGACTTCATAAATTATTTATAAATTGTTGAAAATATCAAAATTTTATATGAAGTCATTTTGTATTCAACTATAAACTAATTCATTGTAAGAGGATAAATACGTTTATAATTTTATTTATACCTGTAAAGTATTAATAACGTTTTACTTATAAACAAAAGCAATTTTTGAAGACTCATCTTATACCAATCATCATTTTTAAATATAAAATAAATAAACCCAATGATAAAAAGAACACATAAATGTATTTATTAATTTTATCTTTGTAAATTGAAACTAAATGAGTTTGATTATAGTTGACAATTTTATCTACAAATTTCTAAGATTTATAAGTTTTTAATGAAAGGTTTCAAGTTTATACGATTAAATTTTATAAATAAAATAAGCATTAAATGTATATAAATGCTTTCAATATAAAATTATTTTTTAATTTATATCAAAAAACTATATAGAAAAATATATTAAATTATATTAAAATTATATTAAAAAATATTTTCGATACTAAAAACCTATTAATTTCTTTTTAAATAATTTCTAAATTCATAAAAATCAGTTGAATTTTAGAAAAAT